TCATTTACCGGGACAATGTCCCCATTACATGAAAATAATGAAAACAAACCTAGAACACGATAACAGCCAAGCGGAACATGTAATGGTTAGCTGTATGGTAGCCTAGATGATGAAGTACGTCTAAACAGCTGCGAGTGGACGAATGATGTGTCACCTGTTCATGACGACGCACCACTACTAAGAAATGAGGAGTTAGTTAGGGTGTTTATGAGGCAAACAAAGTGGTTTTCGAATAAACAAAAAATACAGAAGGGTTTGAAGTACAAAGATCATGACATCTTTCTGTCTTGATTTGCCACGTACTCGCATATATTCACTGATTTACGATCCTTCCAAGCATCATATCGATGACCCAGCATTGAACAGCTGTACATTTGATTGGATATGTGGCAAAGCTGTTGAATATTAGACAATATTAAATCATCAGTAATATTTAGAAGAGTTTTAGGACAAGCCTAATCGTAAGCACCTCTTCAGTTTGGCTTTCCCACACATACTTTGACCTTTCAAAGTCCTCAAAAAGTAGCAATTTTCTCCTATGAACGTGAATTTCGAAATGCTTACTCACCTATCAATTTTACATGTATTTAGCTCCCCCCAAATACGCTAATTTCCCTCTAAACTGCCCAGACACATTAACATGCGGAAAAAGTTCTTTGCCCATATAACTGGCTCGTTTCTCCTACAGATTTTTCTTTGCGAATGTGATTCTGGCAATGATTATTCCTTGTATCTATAGTACATATGTTCAGCTTTCCGCAGATATCTTTATGTGTAGTTCAGAAATTATTCGCACATAGAACTGACACATTCTCGCCGATATGTCGCTGTATTTCTGCAAATACTGTAAAAAGATTTGCGATGACTTCACCAGACCAACAACCAAATAGCTTCGTCTAAACTTTTCAGAAGCTTATGTGACAGTTGCTAGAGTTTTTCTCCATATTTCGTTGCACACAATGTCGCGAAAATTCATCTACCCATAACTTCCGCTTAATAACGATTGTTTACAAGCATTCAGACGACATGGTAGGCCCCGAGCTGTCATACAACACGCAAATGCTTGTAGCAAAACTGTTAAGCTAACCCTTCTTCTTCGTAATTCCTTAAATCAAAACGCCACCAAGTTTATTCGGGAAGACAAAAACAGGGTATTTTATCGAACTCTTGAGTTAAGAATGAAGTTTAGAATTCTAATCGCAGCGTTAGAAAATGCTGGAAAGAAAGTGTAACTAGCAGCCATTAACCTTTGAGTTGCAAATTGCGCCTAAACGCAGTAATAAATCACAGAGTGTGCAAACCGGTTGCTCAAAACCCTTCGTGCTGGTTAGAGATTGTCAATTATTGAAAGAAAAAAGCCTGTACTTGCAATTGCAGGTATAACAGATTATTAGCGTGCAAAATTGAACTTAGATATTAATCATCGAAGAGGATAAAAAAGTGCGTCTTTGGAATTCGAATAACCTTTAAAGATGCGAGGAAAGTGTAAGACAAGAGAAGTCCGATGGTAAGCTAATGAATAATTAATGACAAGGCAACAGGATTTAACTCCACACAGACACGCAAATAAGGACATTGTCGTAAAAACAACATCATTATTGGAGAAAGCCGTTCACAAAGAGCAACTTTGTTTGACAGAAAGGCTAGCGGGAAATCTATCAGTGCTACAAAGCGTGGTAACAGCAGTATAAATAGTCAGCATATTTTGAAATTGTTCAGAAATCATAAGATAACTAGAATTTGCAAGGCTTTCCAAACTCGTTGCAGTTTACTAGTGTAAAAAATCGTTACAATTGTCCTCATCTGCATATATCCGCACTAACTACGATGAAATGGACAATGAAGATAGATGCTTAGCAGTAAGGCACATAAAAACCTAGCCTGTTTCACCAATCAGAGCAAGTTACAATATTTACGTTAGATCTGAATCGCAATTGTCTAACTGCTGGACATAAAGAATGATTGAGATGATTCCACATTCCAAAGACTGATCCCATGATAGCGGGTAAAAACTGAGAAGAAAATAGATCAAAGCTGGCAACATAATTTATAGATATCTCATACAAGACAAATCAATCTGATTATGAAAAAACTCAAATCAAACAGAATTGTTCGATAGAAGCTTTGCAGTGCCAAACAGCTGAGAGACTACCGTAATCAGACACAGCTATTTTCTACTTACCATTGAGCTTTGACCTTCACAGCTCAACGCTAATGAAGGAGCTGATGTGCATATAAGACTATAATAATAATATTGCTGTCTATGTTAAATCAGCCAACACGGCTTATTCTAACTGTTCCAAAATAACTGATTCACCTTCCACATCAATCAAACGTGGTGAAAAAAAAAGGATTCTGGGAGCACTAATATCCTTGATGCAACTCATATGTCCGGATAGTAGCCTGGGAGCACTGCTATCCGTGAATCTTTATGGAAAAGAAAGAAAAAAAGTTTCTGCAAATACGTGAAGTCGCTCAACGGGTGGGGTATCTCTAGAAGCTTGAATTATAGGCTACTTTCCGGACATATGAGTTGTATCAAAGATAACAGTACTCAAAGTCTCCCATTCTTTGGCCCGAAAATTTATTCTAGTCCCGTCACTTGATAAAACTGATTTCGTGATAGGTTCGTCGATAATATGCTCAAACAACATGTGTTTTGTTGAACTGCAGATATGCAGACAAATGTGCAGCTCTGTTTATAATTCAGTTATATGAACACATATCAAAGATCTCACCGACAGATCTTCAACTCGGAACAATCCATGCCCACCTTTCGACGATATGGTTGAACCGAGAAATGAAAAACCAGGAACAACTTCAAAAAATCAACAATACATCCGAAATGCCTAATTTATATATACGGCAAATGAGATTGGGCACTAATGCATTGCATTAGCATCATTTTTTTCTAAAATTTTAGCTGCAGTAGAAAAATGACTTTTTATCTGTGATGTTGAATTTATCTACGATTGGAAATTCCGCGAAAATGAGCTTCGAAAACTCAGCAAGCAGCTACAATTTTCACAACTTGTACAACTATCTTTCCCCAACTCACTTTCAATTAAAGCAATGAATTTAATATCTTGAAAATTTAAATCACACAATATTTAGAAATCGGGATGTGGTAATTCTTTATAAAAAAAATGGAAAAGAGAGATATAGTCTAACAATAAATAGGAAAAAAGTAGTTCTCATGTATCGAACTAAACGATAAAAAGGAGGCTGAAATTTATCTTGAAATATTTCCTAATAATTTGAGAGTTCGAGGCTCGAATCGGGAAGATTTTAAATGCTTTAAAGATATGCTGTTTGGAACGGAAAGAGTTTTGGAGAGAAAAGAGGCACAAACAAATCGAAATCTTATTTGGGAGAATGTGGACGACTAAAATGAGATGACGCAGAGAAGCACTTTAGGACAGTGCATGGGCACAACATTGGTTGGCATAGCTGGTATTGATGTTGATATGGAACAAAGCAAATTTTAGTGGACCCCAGTCAATAGTGAAAATATCCTTTTATGAAACTAATCTCAATTGAAAATTACATAAAGAGCAGATTATTTGGAACTAACCATATATGGTGTACAGCAAACTATAAGTTCAGACGTGTGGTCAAACAAAGATTTGATTTTGCCAGTTCGCCAAATTTGATTTTGCGAGTTTGTGGGTCTGTAACACTATCAAATACAAAGCCATAGACATATATAGGAAGCAGTAAGTTTCGAAGTTGAAGTGAAAGAATATACGAAAAGTGCGTCTTTTAAGCGACTCGAGCTTTGCAAACGCGACTTCTTTTCGCGGAAGGACTGACTCAACGTCAATCCACCGCCGCCGCCGTCTATGGGTGGAGATATTCTGGGAAGCTTTCGCAACGCAAAAAAAGCGCTCGCACAAAAACACAGCTGAATATATCGATTTTGCAGGACGGAGCTCAGCTTATACGATGTCTCATGTAGAATGCTCGTGATAACTAACTTCGCATGGAAACGGAGAATCGATATATCTACTAGATTCGTTGCAGATGTGTTCACATCAAAGTAAATAGAGAGCATAAAACGAAGAGAAACATATGTGTTTGACAGCAGAACTGGATAACATTACGAGTAGAGTATTTCGTTATGCGACCTAATCCTAGGAGCAATGAGTGGATTTGTCACTTACGAAGTGACGACATAAGTCTGAAAGAATGAGTCATCTCTTGGCCAGACATGAGTCATCACCTCAGGCTCTTATGCGCCGACACAAGGCACCAAGTACAAAAGGCTTGCCGCCGACACTTCTGGGAAAGCGCCGTTTTGCGCCGCGAATGCCGACTTTAGCCAAACAAAATGTATATCTTTCTCAAAAAACTTTCTATGAGGCTCATACTGCCTTTGAGCAAGAAAGAAAGAATTCGTCAGCAAATATGCACGACTCATGTAGCGGTAAAAATTAAGATGTAGAGGGAAAAAACTTTATACACAGAACAAGAGTGTGAATCTGTGTAAGTACGGCCACCTTCTCAAACATGGCATGAGAAAGAAGAGAAATGGAGCATAAACTATGGATCAAAACATTCAAAAGGTCAGTGTAAACAGAAGAAAGGAAAAGCAAAAGGAAGAATTGGTCAGTTGGTGATGCAAAATACTGCGGTTAGTGGGTTGTATGCCAAGATGAACGACAGCTGCAAATAAGCATCCGGTAGTCTTACGGTTTTCAGTATGCTGAGCTTAAAGTCATCCCTTTGACGCTCTATGTTCCCCTTTGAACGAAAATGGTGCCGAAAAGTAAAGAATAGGTCCCATTAACTCGCAGCGTTTTTTTTCAAAATTTTTCATCAACACCATATCGAGATTTAAGATTGAGAGAGATTGACCTACGTAACGCATACGGCTGTCACAAGCTATCGTTCATGTTGGTTGCCTCCCCCCCCCCCTCCGGGTTAGTGAGATTTCAGCCACTAATTGGTGTATCAGAAAAAACAGAGCACCAAGGAGATTAACTGAGAAAGCAACTCACCTGTTCCACAGTCAAGACCGTTCACGAAGAAGCAAAAGATACGACTGGAAGCTATCTTTCTGCTTCATGATGAAGAATGCACTGTCACGCCGGTGTCAATCAACATTACATTTGAAATTGCTAATTCGTTGAAAAATGCTGCGTTGTCATCGCTGAGATGCACATTTTCCATGGCATATCAGAACAGCTCATTTTCAAAGCCACAAAATGATGGGAAACACAAAGTTTGGTTTTTTGGAAATGAATCTGAACGGCAATCAACGAAATGAGATATGAGCTGACATTCTAGGACATGAAGAAGATGTAAAGTGATGAAGCAATACTGAGAGATGATGATGGCGCGATTTTCAGGGTCGCTCACCAATCCGCTTACCTTGAACCAAATTTGACGTTTGCTCTATGGTCACCAGCGAGCTTATTGTTATAAATAGAAGGAAGGAACAAACACGCGCATCTAGAATAAACACCTGTGATGTCGCATGCATGGCACATGGCTAGGGTAGTCGAGAGAGAGAGGAGCTAGGAAATGGCTAGGAACTCAAAAATTCGTAGCCGCGTCTGCTAGAGCGCGGGTATAGCGGCGTCGAGGAGCGAGATAGCACAAGGCTGGCGGACAGCCTCGTAGCACACACAACAGCAGAATCGTTTGCCGCTGGCAGCCAGCCAGCTTACACACATGGCAACCGGCGGCGAGTTTGCTTTGTGTGTTCGGCGACTCTACGATGAGACCGCACTCCCTCGGAACTACCGCTGATGTTCGATTCAAAAATTATGAAAAGCCATGAATGAAAAAGGATGTGCCTCTATGGTAAAATAATAGTTTGAGAAAAAAGAGGTGAAGTAGGATGCACCACAACCGCAGATAGGTTTTGCAAACAAAATAGAAGATAGGTTTCCCCACAAAAAACCAAGGAAATTTAAACGTGCAAGACAGACATATGTACATTCACAGACCTGCATACCAAACCACTAAATATAATAGATATAGAAAAAAGTAATCAAAAGTGAAGTAAAAACAAGCTATAAACTCACAAACCTGCATGCAGACTACATACTCAAGACATAATGAGATACGAACCAGCCCTTAACACGGCGCCACAGTTGTCCATTTGTTGATTCAAGCTTCGCGCGCAAGTAACCTTAAAAACAGTATAATCCGCCCGCAAGCCTGCAGACAACAAAAAAAGAAATCGTGCAAAACTTGCACTTTTGAGAGCGTCAGCATTCCACATCCATAGCTCCGACAGCTCGCTAATCTTTGCTATTGACGCAGATGAATTCTCTTCGATTTCATGGAAAAGAAAAGCTGTGACGGAAACTATAGCACGTGACGATATAAACATAGTCAGAGGCACTAAAACAAGTACATACTAAAAGAGAAAATAAAAGAAAGTGAATGAAAATCAGAGACGTAACTACTACTACTAAATCTACACACGGCTGCGCAAAGCGCGCCCCATGCCCCAATGCGAATTTCTCCAGCGCGCAGGATCTTCGCTGTTGGAGCATGCCAGGCAAGTGGACCTGATCCCTTTTGACAAACGTAATGTGTTATTGTTATTGCTCTCCATGTTCAGGTTTCTTCCACATATCAATGTCCCAGACTAAGGTAAGGTATATAAACACTCGTTGCTTACAATAGCATAAGTCCTCTAAAGCTTCCTTCTTCTCGTAGTGTTAAAGAACTCATCGCCTTATGTAGTTAACAAAGTTCATCTATTTGAACGTTGGAAAGCAGTATCATCAAAGTCTACGTTTCAGGATAAAGTACTGTGTTGAATTGTGAGCCTAGCTTCACTAGTTGAATCTGTACAAACTTAGATTTATTCGGCGCTGTTCGGCTATCCGAGCCCAAAATTTTATAGTCGATTTCGCTCAAACTTGGCCCAGCGGGGTTATCTGGCATGCTGACACGAATATCACATTTTTCTCCGCAGGAAATCGCCTTCCTGTGGGGTTACGGTGGGTATGCGGTAGGAGTCAAAACCGTAGATTTGACTGAAACTTGGCCCAGGGAGCTTATCTGACATGCTGAACGTGGAGACATGATACTATTGCGCTTGGTGAAATTTCTAGTGGTTTTTCTGAACCTAATCTGACCTGAAAAGCGCAAAGGTGCTTTACTGCACCGTCAAAAGAATTGTAATTGATGGCCTTAAAGAGGGCCGTTGGGATAGCATATGTCAACTAGCAGTCAACCGGATACAGCTCGGCTACCTGCCTCCGGAAGTTGTGGAGAGATTCTTCACGCTCGCCGAGCTTCCTTCTCCACATAAACTCCCTCAGCCAGTCTGCGTAGCGCCTGTTACCGATTCCGCACCTTTGCTTCACCATCCTTTTGAATTTTTCCCAGTGGCTTTCTGCGTTCTGGGTGTATGCGCCTGTCCTTGGATCCACAAAATTCGGTGGTTCACAGTCAGGTGAATGCAACCCTGTGGTAAGGCAGCGATACGATTGTAGGCTTGTCGACAACGATGGCTGTGCCTGGTCGGATATACATGACGATTAGGCGGAGGAGGGTCCGGGCGTCGCGTCAACCATACGTGTGCAAAGGGAGAACATGGCCTCTCTAGGGTGAAAGGGGTCATAGGGGTCGGTCCCGCCTCTTCAGGGTGAAGGGGATATGAGGGCCGACGGGGGGGGGGGCAATGTTCGTCATCATTGCTTCTCATGTTCTTTTCATTCACATGCATCAAGTGAAATTGTAGCCTGGTTAAAGTCAAATATTGGTTTTACCCGCTGGAAGCCGGAGAAGAAAGACTGGTGAAGTGAGATTAAGAAATCAACATTTTAAGCAAATCAAACTATCGGCATTATTAAAATTGACTTTAGTAACATTTTAATCCATAATATCATTGATATGATTACCAAAAACTTATTTGAATCAGTGAGAAGTTCGTCGAAAATTTGCCGATTATTCACTTCTAGAAAACGACGAAAAAGCCGTTTGCGTAGAGAAGAAGGTGCAATCAAGGGCACCTGTTACATCGAAGATTTAGTGTAATTAGGGTTAGTCTTACTGTCAAAATGCTATAGCTACGAGGATCGTGGAGTTCTGCGACCCGCCTACTTGGACGATGATATGGATGGAGAAGAACGGCCAGAAATGCATTTTCCCACATTGGAGCACTATACAAGAAAATGACGACAATCGGATATGATATATGATTAATAGCACTTGATTTTTTGAAAAAATTTTGTTTTTCATCGAAGGAGATTGAGAAGCTCAAGAGATCTTAACACGTTTCGGACCGATGCCGCAGATAGTGCAGCACCCGGGTGCTGAAAGGTAAGAAAATATATAGGTTGTGGGAAGAGGGATGCTAAAAGTACGTGGTGAAAGGAGGGGGGGACATGGTATAATGGGCGTGTTCCTTTAACTCCTTAAAAAGACGTTTTTGGAGTACATGAAGGAACATTTTCATTATGCCATGTTTCTCCCCCTGTCACCGCGTACTTATAGAATCCCTCTCCCCACAACCTATACATTTTGTAAAAGAGGACGACGAGAGGAATTCAACGAACACCTAAACACTCTCCCAGCTTCTCATACAAAAATGATACAATTTTTTTAGTTAGAAATTGGCTTAATTTCGAAAAAACGACTACGACCCCTTTCACCCGATAGGAAGATCCCCTTTTCTCCTGGCAACCTACATATTTTCAGAAAGCGGACGACGAGAGGATTTTAATAGAGTGCAAAAGACTCTTCTGGGTTTTCGTATAATAAAGTTATAAATTTTTATAAAAAAATTCCCTTAATTTTAGAAAAACAATTACGACCACCTTCGCCCTACAGGAAAATCCTTTCTTTCCTGGCAAGCTATATATTTTCTGGAATCTTTCAACAAGTTTACCCTGTCGTCATTTTCTTGTATAGGGCTCCAACGTGGGAAAATGCATTTCTGGCTGTCCTTCCTCATCCATAGCATCGTCCAAGTAGGCGGATTGTAGAACTCCACGATCCTCGTAGCTATAGAATTGTGACAGTAAGACTACCTGATTACACCAAGTCTTCGATGTAACAGGTGCCCATTGCACCTTCTTCTCTACGCAAACGTTACGATCTCTGTCAGACTGCGCACCGATCATCAAAGTTCATTTATTACTTCACTTATTATTTCAGCAAATACGTGAGTAACTTCATTGACATGTATAAAAAATGGCACTTCATGTGCTTCCCTTGTAAGTTTAGAGTCCTACAACTTATCAGATGATATGGCATGAGGTCTTTCTGCCCTGAGGTAAAGTCATAAAATATTCGATGAAGATTGCTTGCAATACGTGCACGGAACTGAGTCTCCATTTGTAGATGAAACTTGAATGGTTGTAACGCCAGCACGTTTGTCATAGCTGATGTCAAGAAAATTATTCTCGAAGCTTCTATTTTACATTTTATTTTACATTACACCATAAATATTCGTAACGAGAAACTTTTCAGGGCTTTGACTCCTGGGATACTGTATGCGACGTCGTGACAATCACTGCTATGGATATATAGGCGCTCTAGATAAATCGAAGGCGATATTTATTAGTTTTAGGTCAACTCTACCTTCAGTTTAAGGCAATCTTATTCATAATAATTTTTGCTAGATATCAAACCGAAAAGCTTCGCTCTGAAGCTAACATGTGCAAAGCTTATATTAGCGTTTATTTTTGGGGAACTAGGCTATTCCCGGTTTGGGTGATGGACACAAAAGAAGCTTTTAATATCGTTAGCACGAAGACAGCTAAGCATCTCAGTGGAAATGGCTAGCGTTCAATGTTGGATATCATATATAGGATATGCTTATGCGGATGGATGGGTTATGCATTAGCGGCAAGCAATTGAACAGTACGCTCTCATAATAATCATTGTTGTGCTTGAGCGCTCTACATGGTGCGCCAAAATTAATTGCGCCAAAATATTCAAAGTAATAGCACAACAATGGAAATGAGAAATTTGGTCTGAATTTAATGTCACAGAATGTCGTAAGCATACTCTACAGCATTATCAAGATCCCAAATCGGTCTTTATTAATAGAAGTAAGAATTGCAAAAAGCAATGTTCGTGACAAAAAAAACGCAAGCTGACGCAAATTATTAAATAGTCAAAATTTTTGTTCTGAATGCTCCTAAAGATTTCAAACCTCAGTAATCTTAAAGCTTAAAACTAGCTCTATTGTACAGCGAAATCTTTACCTGAGAGAAGCGGTCACTGAAAAGGTAAATGCTGGGCAACTTTGCGAGCCTCTACCCTCGTGCAGCACGCGACAAAGCCAAAGAAATATTATGAATTTTTGCCGAAAAGCAAAACAGGAAACTTCGCATTTTTCAACTAAGCTACAATATTATTGAACCAAGAAAACATTATCAAGCTTGACCGCTGGCTGAGAAGGTCTTATATTCATGTGGCGCTTGATTATACATGCGCAAATAATTGTGGCGCACCCTGTAATGACTAACTTCAACGCGCGGCAATGAAGCACTTACCAACGTTATCTATTACTGCC